GGCAGCAGCAGCAACAGCAGGAGCAGCAGAAGCAGAAGCAGCAGGATCGACGGCGGCAGACGTGGCCGCGGCTGGCGTCTTCAGGCCCTCCAAGCCTGGCGTTGGGCCCCTCCTGCGCCTCCGCCCCTGCACACAACACGCACTGGTTTTTTGAAGGGTCCAGCCCGCAGCAGCAGGTGTGCGCTCAAATGTCTGCACCACTGGGCAGCAAGACTATGCAGAGCTGTCGAGGGCCCGCCCACGACAGCGTTCTGGTGGCAGTGCACCCATCGGCTGCTGTCTTGAATAAGGCGCCAGCTGACCAGGGTGCATTCACCATGCAACCGGTGGCCCGGTCCAAAGCACACCTCAGCACAGGCAGCCTGAGCAGCAGCAGCGGAGGGCAGCCATTGCCCATATCTATGGCTGCAACACCGTTACGAAAAGCGACTGGGTTGATGTCTGGGCGGCGCCTCCTGCTGCCATCATTGAGCACAATCGAGCTGAACCTGCCAGTGGCTGGAGTGTAGAGTTTGTCCAGGGCAGAGGCTTGCTTTTACGCAACGTTGCTGCTTAGGGCTGCCTAAGCGAGGCATTAGTCTGCTCATGAACCCTTTTGTAACACAGCTGCAATGCAATCGCAGACAACATGGGGGTTTTGATGCGATGAATCAGCACGCATGTGGTGTCCCTGCTGCCATGCACACGACTCAACGCATGCCTGTATACACATTGCAGCTCAAAATGGTGTTCAACACTGGCCTCCGAACGCCCAATCAACATGCCTGTCAACCACTTCCTCGAGTCAACGCTCTCAACTTGCAAGGGCTGCTGCCCAGCAGGACCCTGTTTCAGTAGCAACCGGTACATGCAAGCCAAAAACGAATGCGCGGCAGCAGAGGGCCCGTCCAGCCAGTTTGGCATCGACCTATGATGTATCCATAGGGTCGATCCAATCAGCTTCTATGCAATGTGGGTCGCAGCTCGGCACTGTCTTGTCACCATCAATGCTGCTGCGCCCACGCCCGTCTCCTCCACTGCTGACATCCCGGGCCACTGTCGCGCCAAGCGCCGTCATGCCAGCAGCCGCGCTGCCCTTGGCGGCGGGCCGGCCGCAGTCTGACTCGCCGCCTGCCTGCGGCGCAGACGGAGGACCCCTGCTGTCCGGGGCGCCTTGCGGGCCGAGCCCATCATCGCTGGGGCACACGTGATTCAAGGCGATAGGGAGGCTGCTCTCAGAGCGCGGCATGAGCGGCTGCTGCATCCCTGGGTGCTCAGCGCCTCCTGGTGCCGCCATTGCCAAGGCGTCTGGCGCGCGGCGCGACACAGCGCTGGCCCTCAACGTCAGCGTGTCCGGCGGTGGTACCTGGGACGGCGGAGGCGGCGTGCTGGAACCGCCGAGAAGCTGCGTGCGGCCGCACTGTGCTGCTGCCTGGCTCTCCTCGGCGCCTGCTGGGGCTGCTGCATGCGGTGGTCTGGCGGCTGCCGCTGCTGGCGCTGCTTTGGGCTGGCCCTGGCCTCCGCTCGTCGAAGACGGAAGCACCTCAGGCTGAGTTGTTGACGTGCTCAAAGTAAGCAGTGGCTCCAGGCCTGCTGCCTCCTTTTGCGGCTCTGCATAGGCCTGTGCACATGCAGGGCCGATGGGGTGCTGCCAGTGGCCTGTGTCGCCCTGCTCGCCAGCCTCCCTGATGCCCGATTGATCCGCTGCCAATTCGCCCTCTGCTGATGGCGGCTCAGCAGGCTCACCGCCGCCGCCGCTGCCGGCGGCGGGTGCTGCTGCCGCCCCCCGCACCACCCAGACCTCCCGCCTGATGACCACGGTGCGCGTGGGCGGCCCGTGCGGGCGGCCGCCCTCGCCGGCCGGCAGCCACGATGCCTCGCGAACAAGCGCCGCATCCAGGCGCACACCTGGGCGCGAGCAGCACAGCTCTGCCTCCCACTCCTGGCCAGCAGCAGCGGTGTCAAAATGGCTGGTGCCGCCCTGCTGGTGCTGAGCCTTGATCTCATCGAGCACGTTGGAATCTTCTTCGCCCGGCAGCAGCTCGCCAGCCGAGGCCGGCTCCGCGGACACGCGCAGGAGCGGGTTGAGGGCCTCGGCGGCGAGGCGGGTGCGTGCGGCCGCGACCACGAGGGCGTCGAGGGCGGCCGCCAGCGCTGCGCCGGGCGCGACGCGGCGGCCGTCGACTTTGCGGGGTGCCTTCAGGCTGAGTGCCTCCTCCACCAGCCCTGACGCCTCGTCGCAGCTAGCACCTGCTGCTTCCAGCACGGCGGCAAGGCAGCGACGCGACAGGCTCCCTGCGCCTTCCAGGCCGGCATCTGCTGCCCTGCAGCCGCCCGCAGGGTGGCAGCGGCTGGCGTCGCCCCCGTCGCTTGCGAGGGCGTCATAGGCTGCGCGTGCTGCCTGCCGGTATGCCTGGAGCTGGCTGTTGGAGAGGTCCATGAGCGCTGCACAGCCCTCACCACCATCACGTGTCGCGGCTGCGATCAGGGACTCGACTGCTGCCAGCACGGACTGCTTCCCGGCAAACAGTGCAGCAGCGGCCGCGAGGCCTGGCGGCAGCACCCCAAGACTGCCTCCGACGGCGCCACTGCAGGGCGCCCAGAGCTCGCCCTCCAGAACACCCCAGAGCTCCTGCAGTAGCGCCGCCTGCCGCAGCTGCAGCCCCGGCACGTCGTCGCCCGAGTGCACGAGCGCGGTGGAGAGGGTGGGCAGGCGGCCGAGCAGCTCCCGCAGGGCAGGCAAGCGCCTGGTGCAGGGCTTGAGGGCGTTGAAGACGCCATGGGCGGCCGCGAGCAGGGTGCGCAGCTCAGAGTCCAGGGTCCCTGTGTTGAAGCTCAGGGTGCCTGGGATGTCCCCTTGCAGCAGCAGCGGCACCAACTGGCCCTGCAGGAGGCAGCAGGCGGGTGTTTTGTGTTGAGTGTGTGGGGGTGGAGGGCTGGGGGGTGGGGAGGATTGGTGCAGGTGTGCGTTGACATGGCAGGACGGGTTGCCAACTGCTATAATCGACTATGAGGGGAGCATATGAAGCAAAGCGGCAATGCCTGTTGTCTGGTAATCAGGGTCCTTTTTGTTTCGGCCCTCGTATTTGTCATGTGCCCTTGCTGTGTGCACGCACCTGCTCTTCCAGCTGCTTCACAAGGTCCCTCAGCCGGTGGGCCTCTGTCTCCCTGGCGTCGGCCTTGGCCAGCAGCCCGTTGCACTGCAGTGCAGAGATTGCGTGAGAAATATTGTGCAGTCCTTCAGCGTGTCGTGCATTCAAGACCAAACAGTCACCTGTCAATTTGCTGCTGTCAAGGTAACCCCTGCCGTTTGCTACCTGCACTCCTGGATGTTCCAATGCCCTGTAAACCCAATGCCGGCTGGTGTCTGGCCAGCTGGCCATGCAACTTGGCCCAAATATGGCATTCACCTGGGATTCCAGCTGGTGCACGCTCTCCCTCAGCCGCCCCTCGCGCTGGCCAGCAGAATTTAGGCTGTGGCGAAGGCGGGCCACCTGAGGTTTGCAACAAAAAGTAGGTCGGAGCGGAGACGCGCACAACGCCTGCAAACTTTGACCCTGACGGCAAACAGGCATGGGGGTTCATTGGAGGTTGCCTGATGTATGCATGTGTCATGGCTCACTAAGTCGTGCACTTCGGCATAATTCGCGGCCGCGGTGCGCTCCAGGTGTCGGATCTCGTCTTGGTGAATTCCCTGTAAGCAATTGGTCCGAGATTTGTGCGTGCAGCAGCCAGCATGATCCGGCTGGGCTCAGAATTCAACCGCCACGCACGAGTGGCTGCGGCGCGTGGACCCACCTGCACGCGCCGCAGCTCTTCCTCCATTTGCTTGATTGTCCTGCCAGCCTCGTGCTGCCGCTGATTTCTATCTCTGTCTGCCTCTGCGTATCCAGGCGGTGTTGAAGGGTGCGGGGTGGGCCGCAGAGGAGCCAGCGGCCCTCCATGGCCGTGGCCGCTGCCCCTGGCTGCATCGGAGTGTGAAGCTGTCTGCCTCATAAGTGCCTGCCCCATTACCCTGACCACCCTTCTTAGGGCCAGATGAAAACTGATGCTCTCCCACCGTCTCAACGATGGGTTTCCGTGGATATCTTGCTTTCAACGCCCGACATTTGTCCCCGCCGACACTCCAAGGAGACGTTTTCCGTGACTGGCACGGTCACTCCACTTCTCGCACGTCTTTTGCAAAACCAGACAATTGATAAGCCATTGTATGTATTGGTTGTGCGCACAATACCTCCCCTCAGCAACCTCGTGCCACGATGGCTTCCGGTACCAGAATCCAGCAGCACGGCCTGATCGTGGCCTATGACTTTGGAACCTCCTACAGTGGCGTTGCCGCCAAGGCCCTGTCGCCAGACCCCCTGGTGCTGACAGATTTTCCGTACCAGGTTGGTGCTTGCGGCTGGGGGTGATACTGTGACCCAGCAGCCTGCGAGGCAAGACAGAGGCCGCATTGCATCTGACCAACTCCCAATTCACCACGGTCCTGAGGTCAGTTGTTGAACATGCCGCCATTATTGTGTTGTACTTGCTACAGGCTGCATACAGCCCCTACCCCAAGATGCCCACCCTGTCGCTCTACCAGCTGCCCCCGGGTGGCTCCGACCCCGAGGGCAGTTGCGGCGACTTCCAAGGCAGCAGCAGCAGCCACCCCGCCCTGACCCGGCCGCCTACCAGCTTGTGGCTGTGGGCTATGCAGCCGACCAGCTCTACCACTCCATGAACCCTGCAACGCGCCGCCGCCACGCCCTCCTGCACCGCTTCAAGCTGCACCTCGCGCCGCGCGGCTCCGATGTCGAGGGACTGGCGCCGCTGCCACCGGGGCTGACGGCGGAGAGGGTGATTTCCGACTTTCTGCGAGAGCTCCACCAGCTGGGGTCTGCGTGGCTGTCCGAGCGATCCGCCTACCGCTCTCTCTACAGGCCGGGTGCGCGCATGCATGCGAGTGTGGTCAGGCATGAATCCGGGCTGGCTCAATGCCTTGCATCGCCACTCCATCACACGGCTGCTGCAAGCTGCCATCCGCCAGCGAAGCTGCACCAAAAGCACTGGACTCGGCTTACATTCCAGACCCACCTGAGTCAGCGCTGTGCCCCTCACGATTTCAACAGCCCGCATGCAATGTTCTCAACCAACCCCACCCCTCAACCCCACCCCTCACCCTTCCTCTTCAAGAGACGACCTCGTACGTGCTCACCGTCCCTGCAAGCTGGCCTGACTCTTCCAAGGCCGTCATGCGCCACTGCGCGGCCGCAGCGGGCATCATCCCCAGCCCACAGTCGCAGCAGCTTGAGCTGCTGCACGAGCCCGAGGCAGCCGCCATTGCCATGGTGCGGGAGCTCAAGCCCTACCTATCCCTCAAGCACGGTAGGCGACGGGATTACTAGATGCTTTGAGGGTGGGTGAGTGAGCTTCGATGGCGAAAGCGATGACCCATTCGGGATCTTAGCTGTAAATCCATATGACACATATGCGGGATGCCCCAAACTTTGCAGGGTTGCCCTAATTGGTAACAGCTTTCCAGCGCCCAAATCCATGCCCCTTTTTGTCGTGCACCCTTACTTGTAACTACTCTATCTGTGTCCCGTCAAAACCTCCCAAGGTGACACTGTGCTTGTCATCGACCTGGGCGGCGGCACCGCCGACATCACCCTCCACGAGCTCGTGCCCAACCTCGACGCGGACGGCGGCGGCGCGCCCTACCACCTCAAGGAGGTGGCGTGCCGCCGCGCTGAGCTGGCAGGCTCCACCTTTGTTGACGACAGGTTTGAGGCCTGGCTGGAGGGCCGCCTGGGGCTGGAGCCCGACGGCTTTGGCGCCTGGAAGGCCTCGAGCCCGCGCGACCGGCTTAAGCTGATGAGGGCCTGGGAGGAGCAGAAGAGGATCTTCGGGGAGGGCTGGGAGCTCAGGTAGGCAGGGCTGTGGTGGTGGGGACACAAACTTGCCTATGAGAGACGCGTCTGGTAGAGAAGCAAGCAATTACGTGCCTTGCAGTAACCCCAATCCTCACCAACGATGACAAGCGACGCAGCTTGATAGTTTTGCATACCATCCCTGCTCACGCAATGGTCAATCCGTGCATCAACCCTTGCATGCGATGTGCCCAAATCGGCAGGGACTGCAAGGTGCAGCTGCCCGACACCCTCTGGAAGCTCCTGCCCGCCCACACGCGCCGCGACCTGTCGTCGGCTAGCGCCTCCAGGGCTGCCGCCGCGTGCACCGACGACCCTCCAGGATGGTGCGACGCGGATTACGCGGTGGTCGGTGACGATGACGAGGAGGAGAGTGGGGATGATGACGAGCCCTACGTGTACATTAAGGCTGACACCATGGTCGAGGAGATGTTCGAGGTGGGGCCAGCCTCCCAAGCAGAGTGTGCTGCTGGTGTGAAATGCACACGGTCGTTTAACTTGTTCTATGGAAATATGTGTGAGGGTTGGCATTGAAGGCTGGCTGATGGGCTGACGGGGCCGCAGCTGCCGCAGGCGCGATGCTTCCGCCCGTGAGCAGGTTGATGAAGATGTTCCAGTGCGCTGCATTTTGAACATATGCATTGCTGGCCTTGCCTCCTCCTCCCCTTCTCCACCCCCCTACGCAGCCAGTGGTGGACACAATTGCCTGGGCGCTGCGGCCCGTGCTCGCTTGGGATGGTGGCCGAGCCGACTGGGGTGGGTGCTGCATGGCGCAGCTTGCCAAGCTCAACCAGTATACGTTGCAGCTTGTCGATGCAGTGGGTGTGATGCAATGGTCTAAGCTTGCCAAGGTCTGTTACATTTTTTGCATCTAACAGACCTTGGGCTGCAGTTGCAGAGGCACAATGTTTTTAAGCCAAAGCTGGTGATGCATTTCAATCGCCCCGTCAAACCCAGCGCGCACCTGGTCTGGCCGTCTCCTGCATCCTAATTCACACGCTGAACCCTGGGCCAACCCTGACTGTACCCCCTGCTCCTGCACTGCAGTGCTTGCCTCTGGCGGCTTCAGTGCCTCACCCTACGTCATGCAGCGCCTCAGGGAGGAGGTGGCCTGTGTGCTGGCCGACAAAGACATTGTCACCGTCCCCAACCCCGGGGCTGCCGTGCTCAAGGGTGAGCTTCAGCTGGAAGGAAGCAGGGCAAAATGTTTGGGTCATCCAAAGGAAGGTTTGGCAGAGCTGGCAAGGCCTCACGGTCAAAAGAATTGAAACTAGTAGCTTGACTCAGGTGTAGGTTTTTAATGTTTGCGAATCCACACGACTGCATAAACGCAGGCGCTGCCCTGTTTGGCGACAACCTGCAGCTGGTGGCGGCGCGCATCTCAACGCTGGCCTATGGGGTGGAAATGTCTTGCAAGTACCGCAGGGGAATGCCCGGAAAACCCTTCATCAGCAACATCACTGGCGCGCGATTGTGGGTTGTGTGTTGTGTGTGGGGTCAGATAGAGGTCCGGCTCTGAGACCATACAACCCCACCTGGTGTTGACCTGGTGTCTGCAAGAGCCGGGACATGCGTGCATGCATGCGTTCAATGCTCACACATCAAATGTTGCTTGTGCACAACTGCCTTCACACACTGTTTACACATACCGAGGCTGTTTGGCTTCATACCATCTTACCTTCACGTGTCTCAGGGTGGACCACTGCTTCCAGCAGTTCGTCAAGCGCGACCACCTGGTAGTTGTGGACGAGACTGTGGAGCACACCTTTTCAACCACCAGGCAGTACCAGGACTCTGTCACATTCAACCTGTTCTGCACCACCGACAACAGCCAGCGGTACACCAGCCAACCCGGCATGAGGCGGCTGGCAAGCCTCGTGCTGGATCTGCCACCCCCCCACGGGCCCCACGAGCGCCACCTGCAGGTGAGGTTCAATTTCTCGGGGCCGAGACAAGCCCGCAGGCGTTGCAAAGCATCTTGCGCCTCCAGGACTGCTGATCGCGTTTTGCCTGCCGGTATCTGTTGCTTGTGGACATGAAAGTTCTGATTAGTGCTGCAGCCACTGCAGATCAAGTTGTAGGCCACCTTGTAAGCACGGCCCACCCAATGCTTTGCCTTTGCTCAGGCTTCCTTCAGGTTTGGCACCGCGGAGATCCAGGTCACCGCCGTCGACACTGAGAGCGGCAAGAGCGTCACGACATCACTGGAATTTGTCGCCGGTGTCTGATGGCTGCGGGTCAGAGCAGATAGTCGGTTTGCAAGAGGGGAGAGAAGGGACGGGGCCATCAGCGATCGTGGCAGTTGCTGGGTAATTGCCCCCAGTGAATGTCGCCTTTGTCTTGGCAGCCAACAAGACCTCCTTGCAGCACGTGTCTGGGGCCTGCATGAGCCAGCAGCATCACAAGCGGCTGTGCACGCATGTTAGTCGGTGCGTGCAGGAGAAGCAGCACATCTCATGCATTTGGAGCAGGCATCTGACCTGTCCGTGCATCAGAGCATGGCTGTTCAGCAACCACCTCGCACATGTTTCTTCCAGCACTGGCTCATTTATTTTGCACCTCGTACCTCTGTGCCGTCGTTGTTGGGACCTGCTGTGTCCTGAGCCTGCTCAGCGTGGAGTCTTTTGCTGAAACTGGATAAACCCATTGCACAGCAGTTCATGCACAAGACCTGTAAAGATGCACGCACCGCATTTATTTTGAGTCCCTGGGTACGTGATAGACCAGGTCAGCGCGCGATGAGCAGCATGTGCAGCGCTACTACGTGTTGTGCGAATTAGCTCCTGAATGAGCAACCACTGCTGTTGGTGTCAGTTTGCAACACGGGTCTGGGCGAGCGTGCCAAACACAGGGGGCCAAAGTTACAGGCTGTCAAATGGCGCAAACATGGAAACAAGTAAATGTACAGGTACAGGCGTGAGCGCAGTGCTGAAATGCAACAGCAGGCAACCTATCTCATGCGGCTGTGGAGATGCCTTATCCCCACCCGGACGCCCCACCCCAGCTCATGAGTGGTCCTGCGCCCAACGCAGGGGCCCCTTACTTGTGTGATGCATGGGGAGCTTTGATGCAAAGCTACACTTTCTTGCTGCTGAAGCTGAATCTGCTGCTGCTGGAGTCAACATTGCTGTCGCCCGCTCCCACAATGGCTTGGTGAAGCAGCTGGTGGAAGTGGAACATGGGCTGTTCCAGGCTTGGGGCGTACCTGCGCGTTGCGGTTGGAGGGGTGCACAGAGCATGATTGGGTCGACAAGCGTGCCAATGCTGGCAGCTGCACCTTGCAGGTGACTTGAGGTAGCCTGGACCATGGCGTGCAGCACTCAGCACCCACCTCCCTGCACTCCCCCACCTGCCGACGCCGTATGCGGGCTCCTCCAGTCCCAACTGCACCGCCTCACACAGCCCAATGTCCTCAACCTAGGGGCAGATGGTGGAGCAGGCAGCAGGAGCGACCGGAGTCACCCATCCAGCGACTGCAGCAGGGTCGACTCCCAATGCGCCAACATCTACAAGCATGAAATACAATGATGCCATTGAATTGCATAACGCCCTCCAGCCTGCGCCTGCTGCGCCCACACCTGCACTTGGTGACTGCTGGCGAGGCTCTCCCTGACAAAGGGCAGCACCGCCGCGCCCGAGTGTGTGAACTCTATCCCCGCCACAGCCTCCTCCACCTCCACAGCGCCCCCGCCATCGTCGCCGCTGCGGCCGCCCTCCCCCTCTCGACCCTGCTGCTGCACGCCGCCGCCGCCTGCCAGGAGCCGCTCGAGGGCGTCCGCCTGCAGCCACCAGTCAAACCGCACCCTGCAGCGGTCGGGCGACCGGCTGTCCGCGGGCACGACCACGTTTGTGTCCATCCAGGGGCCGTAGCGGTTGACCATGATGTTGGGGTACAGGAAGAAGTAGCCAGCCGGCCGGCCGCCGCCAACGCGGCCGTCGGCGGACGCCCCCGGGTCGCACGTCTGCGATGCGTCGCCGAGGATGGCGCGCGCACAGAGCGGCGGAGATCAGTCAAGGCCCATCCACTAGCTGCCAGCCAGCACGCACGGGCAAGCAATTCTGCTTGGCACAACACCCTACTGCACGACCTGTCGCCATCACCAAAGCTGCCTGAGCAGCATCAGCCCACCCAACCCCCCAGCACCCCACCTGCAGTGACAGGCGGGGGTGCAGCTCGCTGCGGTAGCCCCCCAGGTCCAGCTGGGCCGCCAGCCCGGGGTGGGCTATGGGCACGTGGTAGCCGCCGTCGAGGTAGTTGTCACAGAACACCTGGCGGCGGCATTGATAGTCGCGGTGTGGGTGGTGGGTGGTTGGGGCTTATGAAATGAGGTGGGCAAGGGAGGTACGCGGCAGTTGCCTGCTTGGCCATAGCGGCTAAAACCCAGTGCGGTGCTAGCATCTGTAAAGCATGGCCGTAGGGAACAGCAACACTGTGGTGAGGACGGCCTGCGGGATTTGCAGCCACCGCACCTTCCAGTTGCACCGCAGCTCGTATGTCCTGGGGACGAGGAGGGGGAGTAAGAGTGCCAAGCGCCTTGTCAGCATCCAACAGGCTGCAATGCTGTCCTGCACAGCCGCAACGCCAGGAATCCCCGGGTGCTCCGCAAATTGGATCAAACCAGCCGCGCACCCCCTGCGTGCGCCCACCGTTGTGCTACGTGCACCATCGGTTCAGCCAACCCCAGAGCACTCATGCGCTCGCCGGCCGAGCCTGTGAGGTGGGTTGGGCAGGTCCAACAATGACGCTGTGGCAACTGACGAGTTCGGCGCGAGTGCGAGTAGGGCGGCACGCATCATGACGCGCTGCAGACACATGGCGGCAGATGAGGAACCCACCCAGCCACTCTTCCAAAGGCGGCGGGGCCGATGAGCTGACACCGCCGCTGCTGCTGCTGCTACTGCTGCTGCTCCTGCCGCTGCCGTCGCCCATCCAGAGGAAGACGAACGGCCCCCATGTGTCCAGGGCTATGGGTCTTAGCCCCCACTCTGCCGCCCTGAAGTCCTTTATGCCCTTGACGCGCGGCGCCTTGCGCAGCCGGCCGCGCGTGTCTGGGGCGCACAGGCAGGGGCACAGGGCGCGCGGCAGTGGCCGGGGGAGCAATTGATCAGACCTGCTCTTCATGCTTGAACCAAGGCACGGCGTTCAAGCAGCACGCCCTTCCCATGTGCGGGCCTAACACATCTGGAAGCACAATGTGCATGTCGTCGCTGGCGGATGCAGTCCTGGGGAGTTTGGGGGTGCTGGGCCCGGCGCTCACCATACGTCCAGCCGTGGTAGGGGCACACCCACTCGTCCCCCTGGCCGCAGCCACCAGCAACCGCCGCCGCATGGTGGCGGCACACCTGCGGTTGCAAGCGCACGGGCCTCTCACTGCTGTCATCCACGTGCATCCCTTCCTGAACCTGCATGTGCCCATCGAAGGCCACCCCAGTTTCCCCTGCAATGTCTTTTTACAAACCGCCAACCGCCAGGCGCCGAAAGCCCCCCTCCCAAGCCCAAAGCCTGTCACTCACGTTGTGGAACGCCCGCAGCTTCCCGTCGTCGCCGCGTGCCACAACGTACCGCCAAGGGGGAAGCGTGCCGGTAAAGTACTGCCCTGGCTGCGCCACCTGGCCCACATGGCCCACCAGCTGCCAACTGCGGCCAAACACCCGCGCCTGCTCTCTTGCTGGGGTCAAAGGGGAGGTGTACCAGCTCGCAGGCAGCGTGGTGGCCTCCTCGATCGGCCGGGCATGGTCAGCCCAGGGCTCAAGGCCCGCTGCGGCAGAGTGCGCGTGCAGCACGTGGCAGGGAGGCACTCGAACTCTGGCACTGGATGGTGTGGGCCACGTCAAAACCACGCTGTGCCGTGCGCTAGCAGCTCGCAGAGCGCGTGACAACATTTCATGTACGTAACTTTGAACGCCTTCTGCAGATCGCTTATCGGGGCCTTCTCGGTGTGGACTTTTGCCGACGCGTGGATCTCACCGGAAATCATACAGATATAAGTCTAGTTGTGGACGTGCGCGCAGTCTTCAACCAGGCCCGCCTCTCGGTGCCACCCTGGTCAGCATGCACATGGGCACACGCGGCTGCACGGCAGCAACAGAAAGCAGCTGGCGGCGCCCCCAGATAACAAGCAGGAGACACAGCAATCTGTCCTCATTATGATTTGCCATGCAGCCATTGGCTGCTCTCATCACCCAAAGCGGCATACGTTGTGTAGCCCCTGAGCGATGTATGCCTCCCTCGATGGCGGCTCCCGGACCGTGGACGCCGCTGACCGCGCCGCCTGCCAGCAGCAGCAGCAGCGGCGGCCCCTCCCAGCTGCGGCCCTACCTGCTGCTGGGTAGCCTAGAGGATGCCCTGGACATCACCGCCCTGCGGCGTGCCGGCGTCACCCACATTGTCAACGCCACCGCCGAGCACGCGCCTGCGTTCCCGGGTGCCTTCGAGCACCTGCGAGTGGCGGTGCGGGACGCGCCGGGCGAGCGCCTCGGGCCGCACTGGCGCCGCGTGGACGACTTTATCCGGCGCGCCCGTGACGCAGGTGGCGCAGCCGGCGGTGACGGCGGCTGCCGGCGCCAGGGTGGCCAGGGCGTCAGGGACGCCGGAAGTGACTGTAGTGTTGGCGGCCGTGGCGTTGTGCTGCTGCACTGCGAGCAGGGCGTCTCCCGCAGCGTGTCGCTGGCGGTGGCGCACCTCATGCTCGCAGAGCACCTGACCCTGGCGCAGGCCCTTGCGGCGGTCAGAAGCGTGCGTCCGCAGGCGGACCCGAACCCGGGGTTCATGCGGGAGCTGCGGGCCCTGGATGCGCAGCTGCAGAGCGAGCGCGACCGCAACGGCGACGGCAGCGACTCCGGCGCTCATCTTCGGTCACAGCATGGTGTCGCCGGCGAGGCGGCGACCAGAGAAGCGGCGGGGCGGGCGGCGGGCGTCCCCTCACAGGCTGACGGTGGGTGGGGGGTCGCCGGCGACAGCCAGGCTGGAGCGCTTGGTGAGCGGGAGGGAGGCGCGCACGACTTTGCCGAGGAGGCAGCTCTCGCAGTCGCCGGCGCTGCCGCCGGCTGCCCGCCGGATAAGGCGCGGCTGGCTGCCGCCGCGACACTGCTCATGAGCTTGCCTGCTGCGGCGCGGCGGGCGGCGGTCGCGTCGGCGGTGAGGCAAGCGTTTGAGGACTTTGGCTCCGCGACAAAGGAGCGGGACGCCGCGGCGCACGCGGCACTGGCTGACGTGCTGGCGGCAGTGGCGCAATGCAGCGGGGACCGCAGATCTGGCCAAGCTTCTCATAGCGGGCAGCAGCAGGGTGGTGTACCCGCCTTTCAGAAGGAGGAGGGCGCAGCCATTGTGGCCGCAGCCCTGCTGGATGTGGAGGCTGGGGAGGCGTGGCAGGAGCTGCTGCTGGACGTCCCGATGGCTGCACAGCTGCTGGCGCGGCTGAGGCATCGCCTTGCGCCGCCGCCGGACGCCACATGCATCAACGGCGCTGCATGAGGCTGGCGGTGCCGCCTGTCTGCAGTAAAATATGTGCATCTAAATTGCTTGCAGGCACTATCATTGGCGTGTGTTACACGATCCACACAGACGCACCCGCTGAGCAGGTGCCGTTAGTACAAACAGTAACAGCGGAAGCGATGGTCATGCAATTGTGTGCTGGCTCAAAGGCGGTCTGGTCATGACGCAGAGCGAGTGGCTCGTGCTGGCAGGGCTGCATACGTCAAGATGTGCATGGCAGTGAGAATCAAGCGGCGTGCAGTGAACAACAAACCAACGTGACATGTGGTCAGTGAGGCAGTCCATGCGTGTTCCAGCATGCGCCAACATATGCAAACAGTGATGAGCTTGCCTCAGCGCATCGCGCAGCACCCATCAGAAGCTCAGGGACGGCAGCTGCCCCGCCTCCACGCGCTGCGGCGGGCCCGCCACGTTGTGCCGCGGCGCGACCTGCTGGCCCGGCGCCGTCTGGTACTCTGCCGCAGCACCCAGCGTGGCCACCACCGCCTTGAAGCGCGCCCTCATGGCCTCCAGCAGGTCGTGCAGCCGCTCGTCCTGCCAGCAGCAATGAAACCGAGCCATGGCAGTGTGCACGAAGTCGGCGGTTTAGCGTCGGTGCGCGCGTGCTTGTTGGTCAAACGGCCGAGCATCGCAGCGTGGCACGCAAGCTCGGCACTTGTGCTCAAGTCTTGGCCCCCGTTGCTGTGCGCCTGGCAAGGTGCCATGGCGTGCCAGCAGCCTGCAGGTGCGCTTCAGTCGCTGCCTTCGGCCTGCTCCAGAGGCGCTGCTCTACTCCTGACATTCGCAACACACAAGGCAGAAGTCAGCCGCAGCAATGCAGGTGTTATATCCCATGGCGGCCACCTGTGGGTCGTAGAGGGGGTACTCCGCCACCAGCGCCTCCAACGAGGATATCCCGCGCTCAGCGCGCTCCGGCAGTGCGCCGGGCGCAAGGCCCTGCTGCAAAGCCCGCCAGGCGCGGACGCAGCCGGCGTAGTGGCCGACCTCCAGGCCTGGTGATTTGATTTTGAAAACAGCAGAAGTCAACACGTTGTGACGCCAAGAGGCCCGTGGGTGGGCGTGCTGGCCGCAGCAAGGCTGCGGCACGGGCTCCCTGCACGCGAGCATCGACGTCTCTGCGTGGGCATTTAGCTGCGAGTGGCGCACCGATTTCAAAGCCTTTCTGCATGCCGAGCTCCCGACCCTCTTGGAGACCTTCTGCCAGCCCGGCCCTGCATGCATGCAGACGAGAGTGAGAAATGGGTTGAAAGCGCACGGGACGGCGGCGCCGTTGGCTGCCGGGGGGAACATTGGATTGCAGCGGAGCGTGAAATGTGTCGCGATGCATGGCGCACTTGCGACCGGCTTCGTAGCCCTCTTGAATATGTTCCTCCTCCAAGGTGTGCACGGCATCGAACGGGTCCATGCGAGCTGGTTGTAAGGGTCGACGCAGGAGGAGGTTCGCAACCGGTTGTCGGTTGCTTGCATGCAATAGAATCAAACAAAGTTTTCTCAAGTTGTGTCGGCTTACAGCGAGCAATCCATTTTTGTAGTGTAGATCACCGAGTGACGATCAGCAGCAGTCATTCATCAGAAACTGCGCGTTTGCCCTCACCTAAAGCTCTATAATCCGAACGATTTGGTGTGGCTGCGCACTACCGCCAGTTATTGTGACAGCGCGCAGCGCATCGGCGGCCACTGGCGCTGTGCGCGCCCGCGCACTTCCGCTGCACACAGGCCAGGTGTGGCAGCAGCTGCCTGAGGTGCACAGCAATGGGATCTCCACAATGACCACACAGCTGGAGGCGAACTTGCAGCCGAGAGCCCACTAATCAAACGCGCGTCGGGCTGCTTCGCCGTCGACCCACCAACTTGCTGGGCACAGCGCGAGCAGCGACGGCAACAGCAGCGGCAGCAGCCAGCAGCAGCGCGAGCAGGCAAGTGGCCAGGCCAAGCCAGGCGGGCGAGCAGGCCGGATGGCGCAGGACGAGGAGCAACGCTACGACCGCTTCGATGTCGACAACGATTTTGAGGGCGGCCAGTGGATAGGCGGGGAGTTCTTCCACGCGGGCAAGCGTAAGAAGCGGCAGCAGGTGCGGGGCGGGAGGCTCGAGGGCATGCGAAGCGCGCTTTGGCTGCTCTGCGCTCACCGCCAACGCTACGTTGCCTGACTTGAAGCAGGCGTGAACTGCGTTCAGGTGCCTACGAATTTCAAAACGGCAGCGGCCTGTCCGCGGCAGTGCTTGCGCGTGCTGTTGCCCGCGGGGTCGCCAACCCTCGGGTGCCCCACCTTCGACCCCGCATCATATCCCTGCACCATCCTCCACCACCAATTCGGCCGTCAAGACCGAGGACGACAGGATCTACGGCGTGTTTGCCGGCAGCAGCAGCGACGACGACGAGGGCGGCCGCCGCGGCAAGCGCGAGAAAAAGGCGGCCGACTACACGAAGCCCGTCGGATTCGTGTCCTCGGGCACGTTTGTGCAAGACCCTGAGGACGGCAAGAAGGGCGCCAAGGCGGGCGCCGGCGCCGGCGCTGCGCCCGTGGAGGACGGCGGGGAGCCGCGGCGCGCGGGACTCGGGAGCGGCGGCTCCGCGGTGCTTCCGCCGAAGCAGGGGAAGGCGGCGCGGCGGCACGAGGGGGAGGGGGAGGAGCTGCACCACGGGGGCCTTGGGTTCGGCGGCGGCGGCGGCGGCGGCGGCGGCCTTGGTTTTGGGGGAGCTGGGGGCGGCGGCCTGGGCTTCTCCGGCGGAGGGGCGAACGGCGGCAGCGGCGGCGGCGGCGGGCTCGGCTTCCGGTCAGCCGGCAGCACGGGGGGCGGCCTGGGCAGCAGCGGGCGGGATGGCGTGCGGCGGCAAGATGATGAGGAGGAGGAGGAAGAGGCGGCCGTCCTGCCAACTGAGTTCGGCAAGAGGTGCGCAAGTCGAGCGGGGGCCTGGGACTACGTGACGCTGCACGGCGTGGCACGGCCAGGCTGCAAGAGGATGCAGACGCGTGCGCCCCGCCAGCGGTTCGCCACACTCCTGTCGCATTGTGTGCAATCAGCAATATTTGTCTGCATACGGTAGCGCCGGTCCAGCTGGATTTGCTCAGCTGTTGTCATCACGTCTCGTGCTCCACCTCGATCCCACGCCGCAACCTTCACGGGCCACAGGATCAAGGCCGCCGCCGAGCGCCGGCAGAAAAAGGCGGCCGCCGACGCCGCGTCCAAGCGCCAGGCGCACGGCCATGCGCGCGCCGGCGCCGGCGGCGCTGGCGCGACCGGCGTCGGCGCGTCTGACCCCAAGTTTGCGTCGTTCGAGACCTTCACTAAGGGCATCGGCTCCAAGCTGCTCTCAAAGATGGGCTACCGGCCGGGGGAGGGTCTTGGCAGGGAGAAGCAGGGCATTGCGAAGCCCATAGAGGCGAAGCTGCGGCCCAAAGGCATGGGCATGGGTTTTGGGGACTTCAAGGAAGCCAAGATGGTGGTGCCGGGCGGCGTGGAGGAGAAGGCGGCGGCGGCGGCGGAGGCGGCGGGGGAGGGGGAGGAGGGCGGCGGCGCCGGCGACGCGGCGGCAAAGGCCAAGGTGCGGGGCGGGAGGGAGGGGGTGCGGGGGGACCAGTGGTGCCAGCAGGGGAGGTCACATCGTCGGTGGGGCCAAGCTGTGCCTACCTGCTTCCCTGACTGCCTTTACACATCAATGGGATCCTCGCTGCTATCGGCCGACCTCATCGCCCCCTTTCTTGTGCTGCCCATTCACAAGCCCCTCCCTTGTCATTGGCCCTCACGCGGGCGTGCACACAAAACTCCTTTTTCCCGCCTGGCCCCGCCGCCGTCCCCGCCCCCGCAGCAGCCGCCCGGCGCCCTGTGGAAGAAGAAGGCCGCCCCCGCGCGGCAGCGCCGCACCTACAAGACGGCGGAGGAGGTGCTGGCGGAGTCTCAGGAGCGCGGCCTCGCGGCGGGCGGCGGCGGCGGCCCCGTGGCGCAGCCGATCCTGGACCTGCGGGGGCCGACGGCCAGGGTCATCACCGACATGGAGCACCTGTCGGCAGGGCCAGGTGTGAAATAGTGGGCCAAGGTCAGGCTTCGGTGTAGCATTGATGCAGCTCAGGGGTGGCGGGAAGCTGGCCCGCGTGGCTGGGCTAGGCTGTCCAAATGCAGGTTGAGGGAGGGGCTCAGGTGGTGACTGAGGCAGGCTGTCTTGGCCTTGAAGCAAAACTGGCCCCCGCGATAGCACACGCCCGCATCCCACCCCTCCCCTTTCCCGCTCCCCGTGCTCTGTCCTGGCCAGACACCGCGGCGGCCGCGGACAGCACCCCTATGCCGGAGCTGCAGCACAACCTGGCACTGCTGGTGCGTGACTGGGGCGGTGCCAAGGGGCAGCGCGCACACCTCCCTCCCACGGCTGCCCTGTTCCGTCCCCTTGTGACCTTTCACTCAGCACAGCGCTGCGCTGCAGCGGTGCAAACACGCGCCCTTCGACATTGCGCCGCATGTATCTCTGCCTTTCCTCAAAATCCTCACCTTATCCTTTACAACCGGTTTGCCCCCATCCTCATCCCCCAGGTCACAATGACGGAGGCCCAGCTGCAGCGGCTGGATGCCCGGTTGCAGCACGACCAGGACACGGCCTCCATCCTGGCAGCTGAGAGGAAGCTGCTCGAGCAGGAGGTCGAGGACAGGGCCGCCGCCACCGCGCGGCTCGAGGCGCTGCACTCGCGCCTGCAGCAGCTGCAGCAGCGCGTCGGGCAGGCCGACGACGGCGGCGGCGGCGGCGGGGATGGCGGCGGCGGCGCGGCGGCGGCGGCTTGGGCGGCGCTGCGGCGGGAATACAAGGAGGAGTATGTCTTGTATAACCTCGGGTCGGCCGCGCTCCCGGCCGCGCTGCCGGTGCTGACATCATCACTCGCAGGCTGGGCGCCGCTCGCGGCGCCGCGGCAGGGCGCGGCCGCGTTCGCGGCGTGGCGGCCGCTGCTGGAAGGCGAGGGGGCGCGGCACGCGGTGCTGGGCGGCGAGCTGGGGGGCGGCGGCGGCGGCGGCGACGATCCCTATGCGGCTGTGGTGGAGGAGTTGGTGCTGCCGCCTGTCAGGTGGGGCGCGTGCTGCTGCGCTGGGATTGTTCGGAGGCCCATCGGCCTGGGCGTGGGGTTTGTATTTTGGACGCGGGGGGTGTAGTTGTGGGGCATCGGGGCATGACCATGGCTGCTCCAGTGCCATGCTGGGGGGGAGTAAGGAATGCAGTGCCATCGCCCAGGGCGGGGCTACACGCTTGCTCGACTGCGCTGCAATATGGCACTGCGTGTACGATGGCCGCGGCTCTCCAGTGCCGGGCTGTCGAAGGGTATGTGCCAGATCACATCATGGGGCCGATCTTAACGGCTGCGGCGGACGTACCCGGCTGGCATCGATCCTTCGCCGCCGGGTGCCTGGATGAAAGCTGCGGCAACCTGTTGGCCCCACATAAAGATGCCCTGCTTCCATCACTGCTCTAGCTCTCGTGTCCGCCGACCCCATCACCCGCCTACCAACAGCTTAGAGGCTCTGCTGGATCAATGAAAGATGTTGATTCAAAGCATGGACCTGGCAACTGGATTGCACCCCTCCGAATGCGCCCAACAGCTTATCTGTTGACCAAGCACTCCCACACTCGTTGACTTCACAAACGAGCCCCCTACCACCCACCAACAACGTCAACCAACCTGCAAGCCTTACTCATCCTCTCAACGGCCGACCGCCTCCACTTCACCCGACCGCGCAATGCCCCAGGTCGGCCCTGACGGCGTGGGACCCCCGAGACCCTGAGCCGGTGCTGGCCTGGCTGGACGCGTGGGAGGGCCTGCTGACGCCCGCAGCGCTGGGCCACGTGCTGCTGGGGCTGGTGCTGCCGCGCATCTCTGCGGCGGTGGAGCGCTGGGACCCGCGGCAGGTGGGGGGCACCCTGAATTCAGGGGCGCTGCGGCCGCCGTCTCCAACTCCACAGGCGGGGTGAACCAGCTATTGCGGCTTTTAAAACAGCTCCGTCGTGCATGCTGACCGCGTGCTTCGACTTGACGCTGGGGCCCGACACACTTTCTTGCCACCCCCTCAACATCACCACGTGCTATCACCCCCTCCCCCCCATGCACACACACGCACCCTCACTACGCCATATGCCCCCAACAACGCCAACCGCCCCCCCCCCCAGGAGACGATCCCCATCCACGCGTGGCTGCACCCCTGGCTGCCCCACCTCGGCCCCCAGCTCGAGGCGCTCTACCCCACCATCCGCCACCGCCTCGCGTCAGCCCTCACGCAGTGGCACCCCGGCGACGACAGCGCGCGCGTGCTGCTGGCGCCGTGGCGCCGCGTGTTCGAGGCGGCGGACTGGGACGGGCTGCTGGCGCGCAGCATCGCGCCAAAGCTGGCGCTCGCGCTGCAGGTGGGGCGCGGTGTGGTTGGGCGTGGTTGCTGCTTGGCAGCTTCGCCGCCGCGAGGCTGTTGTGGTTGTGCTCGCCTGCAACTTACTGCTGGATATTGCTCTTCACGCTGCAGTACTGCGCTTCCTTCACACAGCGTTGGGTCGCACCCGAACCGCTTGGGAGGGGCACACCATGAAGCGCACACCGAGGGCTGTGCTTGCCCCAGCCGACAGTAGGCCTCGCACATGACGTCACAAGCCCGTATCCCCCCCCCAAAAAATAAATTCCAGGAGCTGGTGATCAACCCGGCCCAGCAGGACCTGGACCCATTCAACTGGGTGAGCCGCGGTGGCAGCAGCCGGTGCTGGTCGTGGGGCGTGGTGGCTGGGTGTTGTAGGGAGGCGTGAGGACAGCGGACCTGTCCCTGTTGTTTTCAAAGCTGAAACGTCCCGTGGCAGCGAGTGAGAGCCCCATATCAAATTCGTACATGTTGTGTTCCCTATCCCCGCCCTGTGTCGCGCACCCATCATCTGCTCTCACCCTGCGCTCCCCATCCCCTCCGACCCCAACCCCAGGTCATCGCGTGGGATGGCCTGCTGGCTGGGCACCAGCTGGCAGCGCTCCTGGAGCAGGTAGGGAGAAACCGCGCACCCGCACCTCAAGCGCGCTCGTCGCCCGCACGTCTCCCGGCCGCCCCGTCCCCCCCCCTCCCCCGCGCATGTTTCCTTCGCACCCCTTCCGCACCGCCC